CATTTTGCTTTAAAACAAAAAAGAAATTGTGAAGAAAATATAAGAAGAAAAAAGAGTTAACTTACAGCTTCCATCAGTTGTTTAACTTCTTGTTCAGAGAGCTTGGTTCCTTGTTTAGCAAGGCCTTGCTTGAGCTCTTCTACTGTAATGGTTCCACTTCCATCTGTGTCCATGTTCTTGAACATTTCCTTCAATCCCATTATTTCTTCCTCTGATAGGCACCCAGCAATCACCTGCTCAGATTATTTAATTAATTCATTAGGGAAAACAAGATAATTAAGAATAGTAATATAAATATATATATATAAAAAATATATGTATACCCTCAAAGCAGCTTTTTTGAATTGGTTCATTGCTCTGAACTGTTTGAGTCTGTTGAGCACAGCATTGTCAAGAGGAGTATCAGGTGCTTCTCCATCCTCCTTAATCCATGGATGATCTGTTCAAATTAAAACCAGTTCAATCAAACCCTAATTGAAAGCTAATCATATATATATATATATTAATTATATTTAAACTCACTTAGAACTTGGTAGGCTGTGAGCCTGGCCTTGGGATCAGAATTCAACATTTTCTTGACAAGATCTTTTGCTGATGGTGATATGGACGGCCATGGATCGGCTGAGAAATCTACATGTCCTCTTAAGATTGCATTGAAGATGCCATGCTCAGATTCTGTCATATATAACACATCCCGTTTTTGGGGGGGGGGGGGAATTAATGTTATCGATTGACATAAAATATAAAATCTTTATGATGTTGCGCTTTTCACATTAAAAAAACTTAATTAATAATAAAAGGATAAATGATATTTTATGTTAATTAAGTTTTAAAGTAATTAAGAGCATATATATAGTTAAGAACTAATTAAGAAAGAATAATCAAGAGTATAAACCTGCCCAAAATGGAGGAACACCACAAAGAAGAATGTAGAGCATGACACCAATACTCCATATATCAACTTCTGGCCCATATTTCCTCTTCAATACTTCAGGAGCTATATAATATGCACTCCCAACAATATCTTTAAATGTCTCCCCTGTATAATCAATTTAAAAGAATGTTATTCAATAGTTCTTCTTGCTCTTGTAAATTTAAATAATTAAAATTTGCAAGAATAAAGTTTTCATAAACTAAAGTTAAGGTAAAAGTCAATTATTGTATTAAAAAGTAAGTTTAACAAAATAAAACTTGTTTGATTAATATAATTAAGAATCATTATTTATTTGTAAATTCTAAAAAAATTAAAATAAATCGATAATAAGCACAAAAATTCAAAAGCCCAAAAAAAAAATCAGCTTCCACTCTAACCTTAAGTTTGAGCCCATAGTTAGTTTTGAACAATTTTGAAGAATGAAGCTGTATTAAACCTAGCTATCCAGAAAATTTAGGTCACTCTTTTCCATCGTAGAAACAATCGTTACGTATTCCTTGCATTATTTTTCTTTCATGCATGAATCAAGATATAGTTTTCCCCCACTTTTCTTGTAATTAAAACCTAAAAACAAAATATCTCATGATCATGAAACTAGAAAAAAGAACACAGACGATACAAAAGCCCAGAGAGAGAGAGAGAGAGAGAGAGAGAGAGAAACCTTCTTTGAAGAAAACGGATAAACCGAAATCGGTGGCCTTGAGAGGGGAATCTTCGTTCTTGTTCAAGAGCAAGAAATTCTCGGGCTTCAGATCTCTATGAATCACTCCCATGGAATGACAAGTATGAACGATCTGCACTATCGTCCTCATCAACGACGCTGCCGCTCGCTCTGTATAATGACCTTTCTCGATTATCCGATCGAACAGTTCACCGCCGGCGCACAACTCCATCACCAGATGCACCGAATGCTTATCCTCAAACGCTCCTTTAAGCTCCACCACGTTCGGCTGTCCCGCCAAATGATGCATTATCTGAACCTCCCTCCTCACGTCCTCGATATCTTCTTTGTTCGCGAGCTTCCTCTTCGCGATCGTCTTGCACGCGTACTGTTGTCCGGTGGCCTTGTGCGTGCAAAGATGCGTCACTCCGAATTGTCCTCTTCCTAGCTCTTTTCCGATCGTGTACGTGGCCTTCACGTCCTCCATCGGACGCTGGAGGACTGGGCCCATCGGCCCAGGCTTACCGGCCTTGGACGGAGGAGGATTCGGTGCCGGGGATGATTTCGCGGAGTTACTGCCACCACCTCCTCCTCCTTCTCCTCCCCCGCTGTTGTTATTGTTGCTGCCTCCTTGGGAGTTGTTCATGGATCCTCCCTTGGCAACATCGGCCGCTGAGCCGGTGGCTTCGGCCGGGGCATCGGTGTCGTTGCTCTGAGAGCAACAGTTGCCCATGGTGGGGGGAGGGAGAGATGAGAGAGAGGCAGGATGACGAGAGAGAGGAAGAGAAGTAATATAGGGTGGAAAAAGAAATGGTCATAAGGTTTGGCAAATATTATTGAGGCTACAAGGGGTTGGTGAAGACAGTGTATGTGTGTGATTGGACAATTGTACAAACAAACAAACAAAACCAAACCCCAAAAAAAAAGGGTAAGGAAAATAAAATAATTTTTATATATAATAAATTAAAATTGGATTAAAAAAAACAGTTTTGAAAAATGAGTGTGTACTTCTTGGGGTGTTTGTGGAATTAGGAAAGACAATGGGCTAATAATAGTGAGGTGAGATTTTAGGAGGCTTATATTAGAGGATGGTCATTGAAAGAGTCTTTGTCGTGTCTTTTAGGGCTTTATTCAGACAAAGGTGAAGAGGATTTTTCGGATAAGAGAAAATGATTAAATAAAACACGGTTGGATATCACAAGGTTATCTATCATTCGTGAAAATAACAACAGATTAATCAAGTCCGTACTCGTAACACAAGTATTGATTTTCTTCTAGTAAGAATAAAGAGATTCTTACTCAACCAACTAGGGGTGGGTCGTAAGTCTAATAATAATAAAAAAAACTAATTTCTTATAATATAACAAATTAAAATTCAAATCCTTATTAAAAGAGATATTCACATTTCGTGTTTAATTATGTTTTAAATAAAATTGCGTGCAATCTTACTCTACAAGCTTGTGTTGTTGCATGCACTTATTCGGGTACAAAAATTGATCTCTTGCACAAATATTTTTTTCTTAACAGAAGATGGTTGAGTGATAAGAATCTCTCAAACATCCTTTAAATAAAATCTCTAGTTGAAGTCTTGTAAATAAGAAAATGGGGTAATACAACTTTCAGTCATTTACATTTGTATGAGTTATCAATTTGGTATCTCAAGTTTAATTTATATTGTTTCAGTCCTTAATGTTTACATCAATCTTCAAGTTAGTTCTCAAAATTTTATAGAACAAATTAGCCGTCAAAATAAGCTGATATGTAAATCAAGTTGTTGATATGGAATATACACGTGGATAAATTAATACATATAAGATAAATTTTCAATTACTGATTATTGCTAATGTGTATTGATTTTTTATTTCCTATTTTCTAAATTGTAAGTTATACGTTATTTGGGATTAACAATAGCAGCAAATTAAGGTGTGCAATGGTGAACACTAAATTGTCAAAGTGAGATGACGATGAGATATTTGTGCGCAAATGCTCTTCTTCCTTCTTTTTCTTCGTGCCCCAGTAGACCTTGATGGAGATAGGTGATGCAGTGTTTGGTTTTGTAATTTTTGAAAGGCTGAATATGTTGCTTTTCTTATTGTTTTATCCACATCAGCATTCCTATTTCTTACAATATTAATCTATATAGCTGTCACATCATCATTTCGTTAGCCATGTCAGAAAAATTTAACCGTGTTAATTTCTCACATAACATTAAGGACTTTTTAAATAAATATATAAAACGTTAAGAATTAAAATGATAAAAATTAAATTTAAAGGATCACATTAATAATTCATGCAAATGTAAAGGATTAAAAATTACATTTTTATAAGAAAATTTATGTTGAGAATTTCCTATTGCTATAGACCCTACCTTAAATCTCTTTGTTACCAAAAATAGAATAATCTTTTAGCGTCACAGGACTTTTCCTTTTCAAATAACCATGTTGAAAATAATTATAGAAAGAGTTGGTAGAAAATTTTTCTCAACAAGATCGCACACTCAGTAATGTTGTTAATCCGATTTGATTTATTACTTCTTATGAAGCCATAAAATCAGAGTAGTAGTCTAACACATTAAAAAATGAACAGAATCAATTTTCTTGAGTGAATTGTGGACGAAATTAAAGTTGAGAGGAAGTTAAGCCTCCATCAACCAGGTCACGTCTAAAACTTGTTTATAAACACTTAAACAAGCCAGACTTGAATTTTTAAAACCTAGCCTAGCCTGTTTAGGTATATTTATACATTTTACATACTTAAATTATATTTTATTTTATATATTTAAATTTTATCCTGTAATTAATTTTTTATCCAGGAATAATTAATTTCATTTTCTTCCACCCTAAATTTTAATTTTTGTAATTTTGCAACATGTAACTCTTTAAAATATATTTTATTCAGATTTATTATAAGTTTTATTCATTTTGATTATATATAGGCTTTAAATAGGCTTTAAGCCTTTAAGCCTATTCAAAATCCGAAACATGTAGACTTTGAAGCTTACATAAAAATACAAGTTTTGGTAGGTTTGAGATTTACTTAAAGACTTTGAGACTTAAATTTAAAAATCTTTTTAAATGCCTACATATAAAGTAGGCCTTCCCAAGCCTACTACGAACTCAAGGTTACGTCTATGAAAAAGCATGCATACAGCCTTAAGCTTGGGTAAAACTTGAGGCTTGTATTACAGGCTCAAGCTTGTTTGATGAAAGCCTAACTTGTCCTATTCCCACTCCTACCATAATTAGCCACATCTACGTGAGGCTGTTTGATTAATAGAAAGGATGAGAATTGACTGAATTAAATTAAATAGCAAAACAAAAATAAAGTACAAAAATGGATTTCGCGTTATATGTACTATAAAATGTCTGGACTTGAAATGCATCAGAACTCAGCATGGCCAGTAAATGAGAATAAACAATGTAGAATATATGAAAATTACAGCCTCATATTCCAAAGTTTCACTACTTGCCTCAAATTATTGTTTGAAATCCCAAAAATAATCTACACTAATGACCTTTTCTCCCAACAAAATCTTGCCATCAAGTATACAAACATGGAATATCATGCAGGCAGTAATCTATTGTATGAAAATATTCTGGGAAGGGGACCAAAAAAATAAATTAGTAAGTAGGGACTGATGGATCAACCTTCACAGCATATGCATGGATTCCCCCTGATATATTGTATACTCTTCTAAATCCCTAAAACACAAACATCAAAACAGTCAGAAAGAGAAGCGGAGTCTCAGTCCAGTAGTGCCTTTCAAAGATTGGAGAAATTCTTGCAAAGACTAGGTGTACAACGTCATCCATACCCTATCCAATAAAAATATATCATGTCATATGGCTGCAAATATGAATTGATTCTGCCATTAATGATAATAGCCATCATTGGCAAAATCAATTTATATTTACAACCATCTCACATGACATATTTTTATTGGATAAAGCATGAATGATGTGGTGCACCTAGTCCGTGCAAGAATCTCTCAAAGATTGATGCATTAAAAGTTCACATTACCAACAGTAATAATGAAAAGTAAAAGAAAATTGATAATTCACAGAAAACACTGTAGCCTTGTTTGGTAAGGAAAGGACGTGTAGAAGTAATTTTTTTTTTTAAATATTTCTCATATCCTCGTTATTATTATTCAAGATTGTTTATGTTGTTCATTACATTTGAAAATAACGTCGTCATAATAATTTTCTAAACAAAAAAAAAATGTTTTTCCCTTTCATTTCTTTTTCATTGTGTGCCAAATGAGCTCTATATGATAGGAAGTTTGATTAGGAGATTTTTGGTGTATCTCCATTGAATAGTAGATATTGAAAATCATTCAGGGACTTCCTTTCATCAAGCAAGAACCATTTTTTTTTTTTAAATATTTGTAGATCACATTCTCTGCCTTGAGAACAGAAGAATTTTTCCTGCACTAAATCATAGAAGAAAATCAACAATTATACGAGTGACTCAGGACTCTGTAGTTAGATCCTGATGTAAATGAACGACCTTGAAAGAAATTAAGAAACCAAAACATAAGGGAGAAACTGTTTAAAGCTGGGCTACAAGAGAAGCCATTGTAAATTGTAATTTGTACCTGTGACTGCAGCCACTTGGCAACTTGCAAGGACCGCATGCCATGATGACACTGCATTTCCAAAGTTTAGTTACTGAATACTTTGACAAATAGAATTGCACAACGAAACACAGACTTGTTAGAAACTGCCAAAACATTGGATTGCAGGATGCTATTGCTAAGCATTCCTTTTAGTCAAAATATCAAAGCATTCAACAAAAGTCTATAAATTCAGTTTGAAGCCAATCGAACACGATATAAATGAATATACACAGTAATAAGATGAGGAATCATCAACTGGCAGTCGACATGGAAAATGGTCAACCTGGGCTTGCGATAAATAAGTGGAGAAAAACCTGTAGAAATTCATATTCTAACCAATACTTTAGACAACACGTAAAAGACAATTCAGTGCCCAAGTAACATAGGCACAAGCATTAGTACAGGTGCAGGTAAACAGGCATGGGTTACATTAATATTTCCAGAATATAGGGTAAAGGTACTAAATAAATAATGAAACCTAAAGTTCAGGTAACTCAAAGTCAACTCAATATTGTTTCCTCAAAACTTTTAGGATAATTTTTTTTTTTTTTTTTGGTTTACCTTTTTGGATACAAGAAACCTCTACCCATACCCCACCCCAACTTTACCACCTGAGCTAGTCTCAGGTGGCTATTAGGATAATAATATTTAATTTAAAGAACACAACAATATTAATTCAAATTCAAATTGGAAATTCAATTTAAAGAACAAGAAAAAGTACTGCAAGGCTGGTTTTCCAGCTACCTCTTGGGAAAAACATCATGTTAAGATAGATAAGTTGTACTCACCAAAACATATGTATCCTTGTTAGGATCAAATGTGGTAGTGATATCAGGTCCCCAATTTCCAAATTGTCGGAGGGGAAGAACCTTAAAACCTGGCAGAGATGCTTTCTCCCTGTATAAAAGGAATGTATCAAGAAGTGGTAGAAAAGCAGACATAAGCTATTAATGTAAATGGAACAGCCTGACAGGAGGACATCGAGAAAACTAAAGAAGGAGAAAAATAGACAGAACACAGTGGAAGAGCCTCTACATGAATATCACACAGACCTACCACCCCGTTTTCCACAGTATGCTTAAATAATAGTGTTAATGCTGAAATGCTCTCAATACTTTCACTTAAAGAGCACATCAACTTCTCAGTTTCTTTATTCAAGCAAGTTACTGCCTCCATCTTATCACTTTAGTATGACCATTCGCCACTCATTCACTCAACTTAATTGTTTACAAATATTAAATAAATGAAATCATCAAGCATATATTTTAATGATTCCCAACACCAGTTAGAGTTGAATGAGAGCATACACTTCCTCTGGCTCTCGAACATCAATCAACTGTGCCTCCTCCATGAAGTTGGGATCCTGAATTTTTGCATGAAGCTCATTAGGTTGAATGTCTTGAAGAATGGTTTCTTCCCTACAGGACAATTAGCGAATATTCAAGGCATAAATATATGACATTTACTGAGACAACATCTTGAACTTATTCACCAGTTGTATATCCAATATAGAAATTTAGGCTTCATGTTGAATATACCTTTCGGACAAAACTTGAAGAAGGTGCCATCCAAATTTTGTTTTGCACCTTACAACTTTGTTTAAAGGTGCATTAAATGCAGCTTCCTCAAATTCAGGAACCTATCACAATATCACCATCAGATGTATGCTCAATCTCAATGATAAAAGAGATAGTTGACTTCTATGATGAAGGAGAATTTTCAGTTTTTTATTTCAGTACAGGATGAACAATGCAGTTTCTTTTAATTTGTACATACTTAGTTCTAGTAAAATGATCTAAGTAGCAAACATTTCAGACCATATAACTCCAAGTTTGATGAACTTTTATAGCCAGAAGCCAAATAAGAACATTCACAAAAGGGTGTAATTACCATCCCGTAGCCCCACACAAAGTAGCACCAACATAATAAATAGTTATGCAAAGACATTGCATTTAAACTTCCAAAAACTAAATACATAAAATAAATTGCTATTGGTTTAATTTACCATTTCCCCCTTTCTCACCCACCCAAGCATTCCTCCTTCTTCTTTGGATGGGCAAATTGAGTGTTCCACGGCAAGATCACTCAAGTCTTCACCTGAAGATGTATGGATATAGAAGCAAAAATTAGAAAGTTAAACAGCAGAAAACTATCTTCCAAACGATAACTGCTAAATTTATAATCTATAAAGTGCATAGATTGACCAAAAAGTTCACAATTTTGTTTCTTATAAACAACCATGTGTCAACTTTTCACGTGCTCCTTCTGAAAAATCCAAAGATTTAGCTGTTCTAACCTGATGAGATTCTCTGCTGAAGATCCAATAGTAGCTTCTGGTCATCTTCTTTAACTAGCAAATGTTGCACCAGAATCTCCCTAGAACCTTCAGCACTACGGCTACTGCTGCTACACAAGGCTGACAGAGAGTAGATTTGGAAATTCATCATTAGAAAGTATGAATATCATGTCAATGTTATCCCAACATCAATCCCAAATAGTTTTGAACATATGACTATAGAATACAATTTTACTGGCAGCCAATTACAATATTACAACTGCCGCCAACGGCCAACATAGTCTACACCACTCCATGAAAATATCAAAGAGAAACCTTAAGCACTTCACAGTCACGCTCAGTTTACCCTCCCGCAGCATATGATTCCCAACTACCAGTTAAAAAATTGTATCACCGTAATGACTATAAAAACTTCGCAGAAGACAAACAGCTTCAATTTTCACGTTACTCAGCGAAATCTAACATGACCTCCAAAATCATACGCTCAGAGTCAAATTGGAAAGTTCCGACAAGCAGGACATGGAGGGGGGAAATAACAAAAACAAGAAGATACCAAGGTGCAAAATCTACCACTAGTAGGAAACGAAATCATGAAGTAGTTAGAGAGTTTTTGGAAGGATTAATACCTCTGACTTGGCGGCGCGACAACCCCATTGTAGGAAGTAGTTGCTTGAAATTGAAGGAAGCAAGAGGATGCGAAGAAGTCAGAAATCCGTGGGAGAAAACCCTGCGAGATGTGGAGCAAGTGAAGAAGGCGCGAAGATTGGAAGGAGAAGAGAGGGAGAGATTGGGGATGAGAGATAGCCTCAGGGCACTGAGAGCTGGAGACGCTATCATTGGAAAATGCGAAGCTCTAACTCTAAGCATGGCTTCACTGAATTGAATCAAAGCGGCGAATGGGGGCACCACACAAAAGGTCGTTTGATTGAATTTCGCGGATCTTAACACAAATTAAGTCAGATAATCAAACAATTAAATTCAGTGTCAATATAAATATACAGCATGCCCCCCTAACCTTGGCAAAATTAGGAAGCGTTAATATCTAGGCAAAGGTCCCAAGGTTTTAATTAAATCTTATAAGAAACCATGATTTTAAAAAGAAAATGAAAAAAATGACAATAAAATATCTTTAAATTATCTAAATGTATATTAATCTTATGAAATGGTATAATTCTCTTACAGTCCCAATAGATATTTCTATCATTAGAAAATTATAGAAAATGACACTTTGCCTTTTATTCAAATTAAAAAAATTTATAATTTTTCATTTACAACTTTTATTCATATATTAATAATTTTTATTTTTAAATTCACAATAATTTAATAATTGTTCATAAGTCTTAATCTATAGGTCCTAACATGCATCAGTGTTGAAAATTTATAATTTTCTATTCATAACTTTTGTTTATATATTAACAATTTTTATTTTTAAATTCGCAACAACTCAATAGTATTTTGAAACTCCGCATCTGCAAGTTCTAATATACATCAGGCGTCAAAAATTTATAACTTTCTATCCACAACTTTTATTCGTATATTAACAACTTTTGTTTTTAAATTCATAACAATTCAATAGTTATTTGCAACTTCACATATGCAAATTCTAATATGCATCAAGTGTTTAAAATTCTCATGTTTTCATTCACAACTTTTTCCCTTGATTCACAATAATGCAACAAGGAATTGTAATTTATTAGCACCCTTTGTAAATTGACTAAATCGGTAAAAATGAATTATCACTCTAATCTAATAAATAACAACTTTTATTAATTTAAATGATAAGAAAACCTTAAAAAGTAACAACTATTTAAGGTTTTGTTATCAATTACATAATCTATAACTTACATTAAAATATTCTACAATCCTTTTGACAAAAATATATGAAGGATTGAATCTTCTAGTGTCATCCTAACATGTCAATCATCTCTCATGCCAACCTGAAATAATAAAATAGTCATTCATCAACATATCTATTTTTTAAATATCATAATTATATATATGTTATGTTTTATCCAACAACAACTATTCTTCTTATATATATTCACAACTCTGTATTGATCATTTACAAGTTTAGTTTATGCATTTACAACACAACTGAAAATAATATATCATTTATCATTTATTCATGAGTAAACAGTCATACCCACATATAACAAAGAAAATGAAGATATCAATCATAAAGAGAAAATGAAGATATCAATCATAAAGAGAAAATGAAGATATCAATCATTTATGCACATTAACACATATCAACTTCAACTATCACATATGAGAGGAAAATTTTCAAGAAGAAGAAACTTACCCATATACAGCACAGCTAGTAGAGGAACCCATATACAGAAACTCAAAAAGAAATAAAACAAACAAGAAGGAGGAGAAGGAGAATGAGAAGGAGAAGGAGGAGATGGAGAAGGAGAAAGAGACGAATCAAAAGAAGGGCACAAAGAAGAGAAGGGCAAAAGAACAAGAAGACGAAGCAGAGGTAAGAACGCACAAGAATGACTGTACATTAAGCCATGAGATTTTTATTTTATTTGAGAGCAATTTGGTCATTTCCTTTAATTCTCTGATAGAAAAATCTCATGATATTCCAAGAAAATTATGCTATTTCATTCGATCAATCTATCATTTACATAATTTAAATGAATTTTTCTATCATTTTTTCCAAAAAATAATCCATCTCATGTTTAATAAAGGATACATGGGATCATTTATTGTCATTTTTTAATTTTATCATTGTTGTAAATTTAATTTTATGACTCACCCTATATTGTTTATCTTTGTCTTCTTATTTTTAATAAAGATAAAGTTAAAAAAATTCATTTTAAAACATATTTAATGACTTAATTATCATTACTTGGTTCAAGTAAATTAGTTAAAAGCACCCCATATTAATGATGCGAGGGAGTATGCATTTAAACAAAGAGACTAAATTGTCCTTCAGGATAGGAGGTTGAGGTTAGGATTTGAAGGTCGCTTAGATTTTTCAGGAAAAATTTAATATTTTATCATAAAATTTTACATGCTTAGTTAATTTTCATAATAAGATAACAAGTGGAAAAAAGTAATTAACCCGAGAATTTGATACACTTGACTTTGGTTTTTCAAAAAGAATATACCATTTTGTTTCGAAAAAATTTACATAAATGGTTAATTTTTAAAATAGGATAAGAAGGTTTTAGGGGGGGGGAATTAACTCGAGAGCTTGGTGCACCTAATTTTGATTTTTCAGGAAAAATATACTATTTTATTTTTTTTAAAATGACATGATTGGTTAATTTTCATTATAGGATAACAGATTTTCAAGAAAATTAACCCAAGTCCATCTCAATGTGAGGCCATAATCTCAATTAAGGGCTCATTTAAATATCAGTTGAGTATAATTGATTATAAAAAAATTAATTAATATGATTAATTTTGATTATAATTGATTATATTATAACGTGATCGTATTTGAATTTTTTTAAAAAAATTGATTTTGACATAGTTGAATATGTTTGAAAGATTTAATTAGAATCTATTTTAAATGTACAAATTACTACAAAGGACATTACTTTTGAAAATGAAGATGTTAATAAAGTTGTATAATTTAATGTATGTAAAAAAATAAATTAATATATGCAAATTCAAATAAATTTAATAAAAGAGAAAGATATAATTCTTAAATTTATGATGCTTAATTTATGGGAAATGTTATGGGAGTTAATTAACAAACGTGTCATTCTAATTTATTTTAATTGCAATGTCATGGGAGTTTTTTTTTTTCTAAGTAATAATTTAACAGTAGAAAAATAAAAGCGACTCAAAAGTTTAATTCATAGACTAAAAAGGTTCAAAGATTAACTGTTAACAAATGAGCTAGAGAAGAGTATAAAATTGAAGAATATAAACAACAAAAGCGAGACGCTGGTACATGCAAGGGCAGGCCGCAGGGGTATCTTTGGACAGCTCATATTTCTGACAAATAATAAATCAAAGTAATAGTATAATCGAAATTGATAAGCTGCAGATTAAAAGAAAACAAAGTTTGGCTTCTAATAATCGATTATCAGGAAATGAAGGTGTTTTGATTTTTTTTTAAGCAAAATCATGGTTTTGTTCATATAATTGATTCTAACTCAGTACCCAAACAGGCACTAAGCCTTATTGTACAAGTTAAAATAACAATAAATATATTTATATAAAATAGAGAAGGTCCTTAAATATCATGTTCTCTAAAAATAAACCTTTCCACTTGACTGTGAGGACCGAGACTTATTGAACTCAGTTAACACTCAAGCTTTCTTCCAAAGGTTAAAGGCAAAACATGCATTCAAACTCGAGAAATTGGCCAATGTGCTTGTCATAGTAAAGACAGTTATAAAGCTGCTTTCTTTGCAGCAAATTTTATGTGAAATTAGGAAAAAAATTAATTTTGTCTAAAAACTAATTCTATATAATCTGCTTTATTTTAGTGCGTTTAATTATCAGTGATTCAACTATGATGAAATAATTATTGCTGTAAACTACATAGTAATAATAATAATAATAATAATAATAATAATAATTGTGTTGATGCTGAACGCAAGAAATAGGCGATAACTACCCCAATTTCCTTATCTTCTTTTGGATCAAGACGATAGATCATCATATAAAGAGAAACCAATAGGGGATAAGTACATATAAAAGTATGAAAGCCATTGAAATAGATCTCACCCAACTCTTTTTTTATCGTATATTAACTCTATCAATTTACTTAGCAAATTAAGAGAATCCTAATGCCTTTTGCCGATTTACACAAAATTGAGGTAGGACTTTCTCTAACCAAGTTCCACCTCATTCTGATTTTGAGTCAAGTAGGATTAGGCAATGAGCCTTCTCTCTCTCTCTCTCTCTCTCTCTCTCTCTCTCTCTCTCTCTCTCTCTCTGTGCATAAGGCATGCAGATAGAAAGTTACTGAATCAAAAATCACAAGCACGAATATTTTCTGTTTTCCACCTCAATCAAATGATCATTCAGAAAAGCAGAGCTGAATCATTTTGATTGCTGCACCATGATCATCTTGGGCTCTAAGTGGAAGCTGATACGTTGGGAGAAGAGGAACCATTAGATGGAGTCCAAGCATAAACCAGCATGCCCAAAACCAGAATGACAGCACCTACAACAAAGCCTGTTGGAAGAGAGGAGGCAACTCCAAGGTATGGCAATGGCAGAGTGAAGATGTAGATAGATATTGGAACTGCCACACATAATCAAATTGCATCAGTTAGGTCTGACTCATGAATCTTGCATATGAACAAGGAAAAAAATGGTGAAGCCTATGGCCAATTCAAGTTAAGACTCAATGAGAAGTTGATTGATGTGCAATTCCTATGTTTTGCATCAAGATTGGATGAGATAGTTTGAATTGTAAAGATATCCATGTATAGTATTTTACCAATATCTTGTACTCCCTCCAATTCCTATTATAGAATGCCTTTTAGGAGGATTCTTTGCTCTTTAATATAAGGCACTTGATGAAATATTAATTACATCTTTTTAATATTACCCCTATTTAAATCCATTAACTATAAGAGAGAATATAATGCAAATTTAAAAAATCTGCATTTAAACAAGGGTACAATTTGGAAGTTTATTTTATTTTAAGATAAAGTTAATAATTTAACCATCTCTTCTTGATTCCAATAAAGTAGTCAGAGGTGCCTTATAATAAAAACTAGATAGAGTAATTCATATTAATCTTTAACATGCCTTTTTCCAAGATATGTGACAGGATCAAACTTTTGACTATTCAGTCACAGAGGATCTAATACCATGTTTATGATCACTTTAACTTGAAAGCTTAAATTATTTAGTGAAATTGCCACATATGTGGAGGGCAAATTAGATGGTAGAGATCACTAATGTATTCTAGCCAAAGAAAGTGGAAACAGAATATAACTAAGACAGTACACCAAGAAAAATTCATGGCACCTGTTAAAAAGTCGTTTTTTTTTTGTCCTGCATATATTCCTAACAAACAGTCTATCCACTTTTCATATATTCGTCCTTCTTTCCCAAAGTACTTTAGATAACCTCGGATAAAGAACAAAGAATAGTTTAGTTACCAATCAGCCTAACAACTTGGCCATATGACCATTAGGCATTGTGCCTTATAAGTTTTTGGAAGTTATATTAAATCTTGACTAATCTATGTCAAGTGCGGTTGGATCATATGGGCATAAAGCTCTACTGCATTAATTTTCTCCATTAAAAAGACTTAAGCCAAGACCTTACTTAAGAAATCAGTGCCAGACCACCAGAACCAACTGCTATGGGTATTTATAATGAAAGCTTTGACGAAGAAGCTTGTGGCCTATCAATTCAAGAGCATGGAAAATAGCTCACCTACTAAGGACATATGTTCTCAATCAGTTTGTCACACAATATTGATTTTTCCAACATTTCAGAGGGTCATATACTAGAAAATTTGTTACTACTTGCATATGACTGGATCAAGTACTTTCTTTAAAAAAATTAACCGAAAGATATAATGAAAGTATATAAAACTAAATCATGGATCTTACACAAGAGTCCTGATGCAGAAAGATTAGCAATTTTTATTTCAGGCACAAGTTACTGAATTCAGAAAAGCACCATCATTCAAATTATCTAGTTTTATCTAACTCAGACAGGACAAGAAAACTGGCTCACATAGACTACCCTGATGTCCATACTCTAAACAGACTCAGTACGACAATCCAAGCAAAAATCAGAAGATTGTCGCTTGCAAAATAAATTATTAGCTCTAAGAAATGTAGATTAATCATTGTGGATGATTTATTTAGGTTGGACCCTTTCATCAAGTTATTAGGCCCGTTGGAGTAGGACATTTTGAGTCATTTCTAAGCAATTTCATCAACATTGAGTTTAAATTGAACTGAATCAGATTAAGTTTCATCATATCATCACATCATCTTAAAACCGAAACCCACCCACCATCAAATTTTACCAACCTTATTTATGCTTTCAAGCACTTGGATAAAGAAAAAGTATTAAAAGCTTCCCTTTTTGTAGTTTGTTTATGTTGCCACTGCAATAATAGAATAGGATCTTCATTTTCTCACACAATTCACACGTAAAAGAATTCATTCATGTACCATGAGGAACGGAATTTTAACATGAATACTCAAGGTGCTGATTATCCAACCATAGTAAATATTTATTACCACTTCCTCTTTTAGCTAAAGCACATTCCCCAACAGGGGAAAAAAGAGGTAAATGCTTTTTTAGAATAAAAAAATTACCACAATATATCATGTATAAATCATGATTTAGTTTATGGTTAACGATATCATTTTCACCACGTAGTGTGTCTCATTGATCATATGAACCACCTGACTGGCCATAATTGCATAGAATCTTGCTAATTTTTCTTCTAGAATCTTGCTATTTTTTCTTGTGCAAATTTTCAAGTTAATGCTGCTCTTCTATTCCTTAATGAGTTGCTTTTGACTTTCACACAAGAACCCACTGACTCTTCCTCCACCTCCTTAAAACTCTAAATAGCACTTCTTGCCAACAAGAATCTCCAGAGAAAAGCAAATTGCCATTACTTCCTAGAACTATTATGTGTTTTTAGGAAAAGACAAGGTGAATTCCCTACCAACTGCAATATCAGCAGCCTATATCCTTACTAATAGCCACCCATTGCAATAAGATTAATCATCAATGCACCAAAATATTAAAACAAAGTATCCACCAAATACCAATTATAGATCTCAAAGGGGAAAAAGAAAAAAGGCCACCAATCTAAGCAGGTCTCATCACTAAATTCTTCAAAAGATATACCTCACCAAAATAAATCACATACCGCAAAGGGTGGCAGCAAGACAAGATACCAAAGCTGAAGAAATCTTGAGAAGATGAAGCAATGAGATATTGAAACCAATGTTAGCAATAATGAACAGCAAGGGAAGCAATGGAGCACCGTCACATCCTGAAACCAGATAGTGTGAGTTCAGCGTGCAAAATTCATAAATCCGCAACTTTTCCATCATAAGAATCACATACTTGAGAAAAGAAAAACAGAATTCCAGGGCATCTAGTCTAGGAGCTAATATGAAATTTCTTTCTAGAAGTTTTACCACTGAAACTGGAATTTCATAAGCTATTACTAACAATAAGAACCTAAGTTTTTAAACCATGAAACCTTAAATGTCATCCCGAATGTCCTATAACCAACATAAAAAAACTCACATGTTCAATAACTGATGCCATAAATATTAACTAGACTAACAATAGTTTCCATCAGAAAGATTTTAACACTCCCTGGTTGGGTTTTGGTTATGAAACTAAACAATTTAGTTCTCACACTTTGATTTTTTGCACAGCTTCACATGTGAAGTAATCACACCCCTGTCACTGGAGGGCATATAATGGCAAGATCAAAAGATTGTGAATTATATGCAGTTGATACCAAGTGAGACAACCAAAATTTCCTATGCACAAAGACAATTATGACGACCACCATCAAAGAAAAATGATGATATAAAAAGGGAAAAAGAGCTTACCTTTCGATAATGTACCAACATTCAGAAAGCAGGCTGCACCATCTTTAAGGTAGTTTGGTAGTTGATTGAAGGGAACACCCCATAATTTTGACAAGAAGGGCAGGAGAAGGCATATAAACAATGTCTGCATTAAATATAGGTTCATACAGTTAGGGATCCAATAGCGTACATATGAGAAATTTCAAAGATGCATACCAAATTAATGTACGGCATATTGTAGGATACGTACTTGGAATGCAGATCCAAAAGCACTGACAACAAACAGGTCCAAGGAACCTCCCTGTTAGACAATATAAAATATTATTTAATATATGACCGTCTTCTAACCAGAAAACGTAAGTCACCATCTCTTTAGAAAATAGAAAAATATGAAATAGTTAGCAATTTTATATATAGAAATAACATATCAACATGAAAAGCATGGCTAGCCAGCTGGAGTCTCGGAATAAAAGATCTACTGATTAAATGGACAACTGAAATGAACTTAAGAGCAGATGGAAACTTCTTCAAAGCTTCAATATGCATTCAATCATCTCTGATCACTAACTTTAAAATTTTACATCCAGTAAGTAGTGCACCAGAATTGATATCGCCCGATTCAAGCAGTCAAATGCCATATGTTATGGCATTTGAAAATCATAATTTGCATAAAATATAAGGATCAAAATACTTATCTGCTATACACACCTTCAGTTTCTGGGTTGCGTCTCGAAAGATGACTTCCTAGAAATAATGAAGATGCCCTTTGTTACCATAGAGAAACAAAGTTTGAAAGTAAATGCAAAAACCAACAGCCATCAACGAAGACATCAACCTTCAGGACAGTATCTGCTGCTTGGAATAGAAACGAAAGTATCATCAAAGCACTCCAGAATAAACCACCTTCCTTCAATGAATTTCCAGCACCAGGTCCACTAAAATAAGTAAACAAAGGCAAAAGATCAAGTCATAGAAATAATCTACAAGAAACTAAGAAAGTCACATTTTTCATGCCATCAACCTCTGGAATATAGTTCAGATTTAACAGTTGACGAAACAGAAACTTATAAGCTGTTATTGTTGATGTAATCTAAAACAATTTCGTGAGTCTTTCACTACACCTTGGAATAAAATTATACCAGTCTTAGACTCTGTACCATAGCATTTCAGACTTCATTTTGATGAAGACCAAGGAACAATGTCAATTACTAGTTGGAGTCACTAAGAGGATTTAAAAGCATAACGCGTCACCAAAAAAAAAAAAAAGGAATGCTTTGTCGTTCAGCATGAAATTCAACAGTAAAATTTGGGAGCTATCAGGAGTTTCAGAATCAAGTTTCTTTAAAATGACATATAAAAGAAAACAACTTTATATCATCAAAGCAATCTGACCAAAAATCAAAATAATCTCTAAAATACTAAAACCACAAATAAAAATGTTCAAGACACTTATTCAGAATTAGTTTGTTTACATGATTGTAGACATTATCATTTTCCTTGCAAATACATAATTCAACAGTGCTTTATCCCTCTTTATACACAAAAACTGAGCCAACATAATCCGACATATTCACATTCCCTGACCTTGCTACAGAAATAATTACACCAACAGCTACAAGAAAGCATCCAAGTAGTTGGTTGACTCTATATCTTCTTCCAAGAAAAATAATTGACAGAAGAATTTGCCACACAAGAAAACTCTGCAAGGGAAGTTAGTTAAAATAATTATACACGCTTTAACTTCTACATTAAATTTAAGCCTGTCATGTAAAGATGAAATAGTAGATGCAAAGACCCAGGTTTTGGTCAAAATGGAAGTGTTAAACATTTTTTCTTTGCATGAAAACAATTAAGTTTATGTGTCAAAGTTTCAACTTTTGGCCAACAGAGATAGATCCTGGATTGGATCACTATACATCCTTTCTGTCGCAATTTTTACAGGGTCAATCCTTTGAAACATAGATGATAGAACAACTTGACCAGTCATCAAGCAGGTTACATGTCCCCGCACAATGCGACTTTAACTATTAGGTACCTAAACAGTTGATCTTTCCTCTTCTCATTTCAAAAAGTGTAAATATTGACAAAAGCATAAGCAAATACACATTTTAAGCACGAATTATATTTTATTACTATAAAGACAAGTAATATCTTGAGCAACTAATTCTGATTTTTCCCCTTTTCAAATGGTATCTTGCAATTGCAAGATATCTAGTTTTTATTTTGGATAATTATATCATAACTTTAATTATGACGCAGATAATAAAATAAACATCTGCCAAATATTCAGCATCGTCATTAACAACAATTTTATGTAGTTTTCACTCATATACAAAATCTGGAAAATAAATAACAAGAGTGTCAGATACAGAAACCTATTTGTTTAATAAGTTGACAAAAACATGGCTCTCCTTATTCTACCATAATGATGCTATTGCAGCAGTAATTTGGATCAATAGTAAACGCTAACCAATGCTTCTTACCTGAGATAAAATTGGAATTGAAGCTCCAGAGAGAATTGCTGACACAACAGAGAGAAGAACACATAATTATATGAAATTCAGACATTAAATTTTTTCTGAGGAAAGCCAAAAACCGTACAGCCCATTGATATTAGTATCTAAGTCTCTATCAGAAAAGAAAGGAATGACTATCTATGATACACACCAAATTTTTTTCGGCCAACAAATGCATCTTAAATTAGAGTTAAAGGAAAACGCAAAAGCAAATTGAACTCAAGACAAATCATTAAATGAACCACAATTTTCTATATTCACAATTAAGTTTAATTGATTCAGGAAAGTTGAAATTAGCTCAATCAAAGGCCATAAAAACATTAAAAAGATGGGTCAGAGTCGTATGCTTCAATGTTTTATGATGTACATTATCTGCTAATGCAATTCTTAAGCTATTGGAAGATAATTATACTAACGAACTAGTATTTTTCTAATACAGGGAGTTACAGTTTGAATTTATTTACTCAAAACATATGGATGTGCCATGAATAATTCTAAGTTGACAAACAAGTTTGATCAACTCATGCAGACAAGACTGACTAACCACACCCAGAAAACAAAACTTATAAAGAAATTATCTGCATGTGGAGATCATGAGTGATGACAGAAACTAGCATTATACATCAGATAGACCATAATCAAAGCAGACTTCTAAAAAAACAAATAATTACAATAGAATAAACTTTCCAAAATTTGGATTGGGATAAGAATATTACTTCCTGCTGCCATTCCTGCGGCAGCACCTAGAGCCTCCAGGAGACCAACAGCAATAAATGGTGCTTTTGGCGTAGATAGCATTTCATCAGTAACGATGCCTGCACGGTATCGTACAAGCAAAATAGAGAAGTATACAGCTAGGTATCTGAAACAAAGAATATCTGATTAGATTTGGTTATATTAACTCTTTGCAGGCGTCTGCATTTTATGCCATGACGCTCAGAAACCGGGGGGGGGGGGGGGAATGCAAGCAGCTTATTCTCCGAAGTAAGAGGATAGTTTTACTTTTATACAAGTTGAAGAAGGCATAGCAGAAAAAGCAACAAAATGTGGTAAGATTATCATGAAGTATACTTTCTAAATCCATCCAAAGGCTCCCCCATTACGATGACATTATTGGGTACAGTGTTTCCCTTTCGGTATATGTTAAGTTACTGTTCAATCTAGCGAACCAAGAGGTGAAACAATGAAGACAAAGTTAAAAGTAGATACTGCTCGCGTCGGACCCATCGGAAATAGGACCAGGAAACAATCCACCGCTTGGACCCACTTGTGGAAAAATCATTATAAAAACTGACGTTTTTATTTTTATTTTTTTTCATCCCAAAATTCAATGAATAATGCAGAGTAAATAAATGACCAATTACGCATTAATCCTTATTTATATTTTTATATACGTTTGTTATTCAAAAAATTATAACTCAATATAGGTGTTTGTTCCGGCCAAAAAATATTTTTGTTAATTTAAGTTATTCTCTTATAATAATATACATATCTATATATATATATATTGGAAGTATATAATTCCACACAAATTAAGCGTATGGAATTACAAACTTCGAAAAATAATCACAATCACAACAATAATTGTTCATAATCAAATAGTGGGGGAGGGCAGCAAGTACCCGACCGTAGCCAGCTGAGCGAGGAAGAAAGGATAGTGTTTGAGGGGTACCAAAGCGAGCTTATACAGCACCCTGTTTCCGACGCCCATCACCACCGTCATTAGGGCGGCGAACGCCACTTCCGCAGTCCGATTCGCCCTTCTCCGATCACTCACTACCGCCACAATCCCATCACCGTCACTCCCGCCCTCCGCCGCGACATCCCCAATCGCGTACCCGCAGGGTCTCACCTTCTCACGCTCCCCGACGTCGTCGGATCTCTCCCACGCGCCAGCTGGCCCCGACACCTCCACCATCCAAATTCTCGAACGCCTCCTCGAAGATCGCAACACGATGCCTGAACGCTGAACTGCATAACTGAAATGGACCTCACATCCCCCGGCGGCCCTCATCATCTGCAGAAGCTGCACATGACCGCTCGATGAGGCAGCACCGCCGGCGACGGCAGCCATCCGCCCGGCAAATGACGCCATAACTTCAATTTCGCCGGCGACGGTGCGCACAGGAATGGCGGAATACACGATAGCGATTATGGAGGAGAGGAGCGACGACGGAGATTGAGCTCACATGAAAGACTTCACCGTGAGATTACTTGGAGCCTCCGACGAAGTTCAGAACATGAATGTTATGTGAGCCAAGGCGACTCTACATAGCCACTTCCGTTTTGGAAGGGGCTCTAACGACTGTAATAAATTATATTATATTGTATTATTATATTATAATTATAATACTATTAAAATTATAACATTTCGGCACAGCACAAACATGAAGAAACGACAAATCAAAATTGCCCTTTGCATCTAGACTTTTGTTAGAGGTGACACGTTGAATTTTTCTTCAAGTTGTTGTTATTAATTATTGCCATATCATGTTTGATGTTTTGAAGCATTAAATAGATTAAGATGTATAAAATTTTTATAAATTTTAAAACAATTACATATAATTTTTTTTATATTTAAAAATTTAAAATTATTTTTTAATTTTATTTTTTAAAACCTCTTATTATTAATTATATTACTTTTTTATAAAGATTAAAATATTATTAAATAAAAATATTATATTATATAATTACTTATACTAAATTTTTTATACTTTTTAAATAGTTGAAATATCGATAATAAAAAAAAATATTATTGTTATTATATAAAATTTTAAATATTTATATTTATATTAATTTTATTCATATGCATAATTTTATTGTTTTAAAAGATAATTTTTTATTTATATTTTTATGTTAGATTAATGTAATGTATATGGTTAAAATATTTAAAATTTTAAATATTATTATTTTAGATTAATTTATCTTTTAATACTAGAAAACTACATAATTGATAACAAAAAATATAAAAAAATGACACAAAAGTAAATATTTAAAATTTTATACAATGATAATAACATTTTTTTTTGTTACCGATGCCTCAACTATTTAAAAAATATAAAAAACTTATTATAAATAGTTATATAATATAATATTTTTGTTTAACAATATTTTTTAGTTGAATGACGTTTTAATTCTCATAAAAAAATAACATAATTAATAATAGAGAATTTTGCAATCCAAAATTAAAGGTGAGGAGGTTAATATTAAACTTTTTAAATGTGAGATAAATTATATGTAACTGTCTTAAAGTTCACGAGGGTTTTATGCATTTTAACCTATTAAATATTACTTTCTTTATTTCAATTTATAAAATATTTTTAAAAAATTTCAGCATTTTAAAATATAAAATATTTTATTAAAAATAAAATTTTATTAATAATATTTTTTTAGGATTATCCTTTTCGATATTATTTCTCTTTAATAGCTTTGTTAATATTAACCTTTTTATATATTATCTCTTTTTAATTTTTTTATAAATGAAGTATTAAAAAAAGATGTTTTTAAAAATTTATATTTTTTTAAAAATAAAGTTATAAAGAATATTTAATAAAATTTATTAATATATAAAATTTTTTATAAGTGTTTTATAAATTGAAATGAAATAAGCAATACTAAAAACATACACATGTACTATATATTATATTGCAAAAAGATGTACAGTATTATATAATATTATTATTTTTTTATTGTTAATAGGTATCTTTCTATTAAAGAAAATATTGTTCAAAACTAGTGCAGGTACTAAATATAAGTATTTCTTTTAATAAAAATTTAAATTTTTATTCATCACATTATATAGGATTAGCCTCTTTAATATACCCCAAACCCAACACTTGTTGGTTATATGATATTATTTTTAATATTAACTATATCCTTCTTGTTGCATTATTATTGTGAAAATCAACTATTAGAGGATTAGACAAAAGAGTTGGGAAAGAGGAGAAGAATCAACTACCAACTAAAAGAAAAAATAAATAAATGTTACTCCTTTTGTTTAAAAATATAAAATATTTTTAATTAAAATTTACTTTAATAAAGTAGTTACATACTTTTAAATTAATCCTATTTTTTTATATTTATATCTATTAAATACCTTACAATAAATATAAAGTCATTCATCAATATGGGCACTTTTAAAAAAATGATTACACCTCGAAAGATTAAAATTTTTTTATATTTTTTAATATCTAACTTTTTAAAAAATATCTTATATTTTTTTTAACAAAGGGAGTAGATGCAATGCTTTATTAATTTATTGGCCATTGTTTTTTTTTTTAACTCAGTGTGTGGAGCATCATATGTGAGGGATCGCTTTCTGTGAACGTAATACATAAATCAGGATCAACATATCTGGTTAAATGAGTAAACTGTTAAACCAGTATTTTAATTAATTTAATCAAATACTTTATTTAGAATTAATTTGACCACTATTAAACAATAATTTTGACCATTATATTAATATAATTTAAACTAGTGCGTTGACTTGTTTGATTTTCAGTATCTTAATTTATGAAGAAGAGTTAGCGTCAATGACCTTGTTGAGGGGCTAAACGCTCATGTCATTAGTGGCTACCCCTCTAACTCCAAAATAAAAAAAAACAAAAATGAAAAAGAGTTAGATATCATTGAGGGAAAAAAAAAAAACACGACCTAACTCAGCTTTAACCCCAAAAAAAAAAAACATTTGCGAAAATTTTAAATGATTTAGGGTCTAACAGATTTTAATTTTCTTTTACAAATGCGTAGCCGAAGAAATTAATATTGTAATTTTATGAATTTACTATTTGATTAAATTTTACAATTTAATATTTATTTTTAAAAATTACAATAATTCAAAATTATCTAAATTTCCAAAAAATCGTTTTTTAAAAAATTATAAAAATTCATAAGAGTTTTAAAAGAGGGATATGATTCCAACTTGAAGTTGTCCTCTTAATTAAATTAACCAAAATTCACTGAATGGAGTCAAAACTAGACAGCGTTGATTCTACTTGAAATCAAATTCAAGTCCTCTTTTTATTTTATTTTAGAGAGGATTATTGCTTTATTCTTGCGAAATGTGAATTAGTAACATGTTTGTATGTTTCTTTTTTTTTAAAAAAATGTGAATTGTTTAAAACAGAGAATTTAGAGAAAATATGGTATAAAATAGCAATAACATTTCAGTTATAAACATTAAAGATGCTTAAAGAAAGGGGGAGGGGGTGAAATAGCATTTTAGATCAAAAATTAAACAATCTCGAGTCTATTTAAAAAGATGCTTCGCAGTTATGTTTTAGCAGTGAAATGCAATGAACTCAACTCAACTTAAAATTATTTGAAACTTAAAAAGAATTTTATAATTTTAAATATTAATATGCTCTTCTTTAAAAAATAAAATTACATTTTTTTTGCCAGAAAAAAAAATTACATTAAATCTACCCATTTCTCATTGAAAAGAGACGTACCAACAATCTCTTTCAAGTAAGAAAGGTAACTCTATCACTAAGACAACTTAATTTCCTCATGATTTAACAGTGTTTGGGTTTTTTTTTTTGACAATTGGTTTGATATTTTGATTAAATATATTGTGTTTGATATTTGATAATGGAGTTTGTGTTAAATGGATTTAATGGACCGTGTGCATATATCATAGATGTCATTTAGATCTAATTTTAGTAGTTGTTTGGCAAAAATAAAAACAAGGTCGCAACATGTGCTAGAGACACGGGATTTCAAAAAAATAAAAAAATCTAATTTCTAATCAAACATGAAAAATTCGGGCTCCCTTACTACAATTCACCTGAATATGAGAATGTGGAGTGAAGAAAATTAATATAGATATAAAAAAGTAGATGTATATTAATTAAAGAAAAAAGTTGTAAGGCTATGCCAACTGTACAATAGAAAAACAAATATTAAAATTACATGATAAAAAATAAAATAAAATAAAGTAGCAAACGCGAAATTTGAGACTGATAGTTTGTTGATGCTAATAATGATTGTTGAGAGAAAGCTCCTCTATTTATAAATGATTATAACTTGGTGTCAAAGTCTCATAATTACCAGTTTTCTTGAATTTAGAAACCACTTCTTCTATCGTAGTTACTCATCATAGATAAAGTGTGGATAACTGAATGGTTAAAGCTTCATAAATATTTTCCTTTAATTAGTTTAAAGCCAATTAAATTGAGTTGAGCTTGAGCCTTCAAATTCACAATTTGGGTATAAATAATATTGTAATTATTATTATTATTTATTAATATATTAATATTTTAATCGATCGTACATTTATTATTATTTTATATGAAACATAATATAAGATAATACCAATCCTACAAGGTTTTCAATTATTTGGTGCATATATATTCTCCGCATTTACATGGGACTTTAACCTGAGATCTTGTCTTTGAGTAGCTATAAGTTATTCTATTAAGATCAATGCCTATGGGTTATTATTGTATAATTTTATACATCATGATGTATTCATATAGCATATAAAGAATTATTTCTATATTCCATAGAATATTTTTCAATTGATAAGGTTTATATTTTTCAATTTCGTTAACGATTTGTAGCGTCTCATTTTGGAAGCTAGAATCGCATACGATGCAGGGAATTTGATCTAGATAAGCACTATCATTATTCATTTAGTCACTTTTTTTATCTTTATTTTTCACCATCATCAAATAAAATATTTTATTAAATTAAAACCGCAAAGTACATCATTTTTATTATAAAACTAATGAACACACACAGACACAACTTGATAAGAGTATTAGACGATTTAATTATATAAGAGAAATAAGGGAGGAATATTCTCATTCACTTTGATTCAGATGAGTTTGCTATCTTCATAGGCATCCAATTATTATTAAATGTTAATACATGAATTTGTAAACTTTGGATTCAGGGAATAGCATAAGTTTATTCACTCAATGAGTATGTCATGTGGCATAATAATAATGATTTGATTTAATTTAAGAGCTGTTAGAGATTTTTCATATATAATACTTAGAAAATAATAAATTTCAAATTTTTGAAAGAACAATATAAGTAAGGAGTGTTCTGATCATAAGAATTATTTTAAAATTTTAAATAAAAATATATTTTGATAATTTTAAGTATTGATGAAATTTAACAATTATAATTAAAATAAATATATATCATTGAGCGAGTATAATTTAGTCTTTTGTATTGCTTATCCATGCTAACATTTATTATGTACATTTCCCAAAGACAACAAATCTTGATATATTATTTGATACATACGAATTTTTATGTTAGGAGTGGAGATAGGGGAC